TTTACAATGTACATTTTTATATTATATAAACTATATATATTTAATAAATTATTTAAATTTGAAATCTAAAATTGTTATAAAAGCAAATATGGTTTAGGCAATATTCCATGAATAACATCCAGTTTGTATGTTTTGTCACAAATCCATCTATTTCTGTGACAAATTGACTACTACAACAGAATGCATTAAAGAGATGGACAATTATACTACTATTGTTACTACGGGAAGTGACACAATCAACTAAAGGTAGGATCCAAATGCAGGATAATCAGAGGTCAGGCAAGTAATGGTCAACACTGGTGCAAACTGGTATATGGAGACAGTCCAGAATCGTAATCAGTAAACAGGTGAGAAGGTCAAAAGGCAGGCGGCAGGCAGGGAGAACACAACACAATCTCACTGCAATTCGTAACTTTTTCATTTAGTGGCTAATTCGTACAAATTCGTACAATCTAATTCGTACATTTTAGTACGATTTGCGTATCCCCCAATGACGGTTGGGTTTAGGGGTGGGGTTAGGTGCCATGCCTCCTTTTTAAAATTGTACATTTTCTTACGACTGAACTCGTACGAATTCGTACGAATTAGCCACTAAACTGCCAAAACGTAAAATACTTACGTTTTCTCGTGAGATCAGGCTGGATAACAAGAATACAAGGCTAGGTAAAACACGGGGAAACAGGACAAGGAATAACGCGTTGTAATGTCATCTACAGATAAACAAGACTCGGCAAACTGAAAGAGTAAGCGTGTAGCTTAAATAGTGTGTGCAATCAGTCTCTGACAATCCTCAGGTGGTGTGAGTGACTAGATGAGGAGACGTGTGTCTGGGTGAAGTGCATGTATGAATATGTAGTCCAGAAATTACAGAATTGTAGTCCATAAGTTATTGTGAGTAAGATCCAGCGATCTATGGAGTTATGATCGCTGGAGATTGTGACAACTATCTGACATTTTAGTTGATATGTGACCTGTCATGATTAGGTAAAAAAAATAAAAGATTGAATTTAAATATCTACAGAAACATATATTTTTTTTATCTATAAATGTGACAGTGCTCATTAAGGTGTGGAGTTCATTAAAACATTTAAAGAACAATTTCCACGGTTATTGTCAGGAACATTAAACAGACAAAAATGCAGGCTTGAGAGAATCAAGGAGTGCAGGTGAGCGAAATCAATCATGTAAATAGAAAGATTGGGTAACAAGAGGAATGGATGACTTAGGTGTACACAAGGTGACAGATTAAAACAAAACATTCACGTGTGCTCGTGACATGTAAATAAACACACAGAAAAAGACAGCGTGATCAGACTAGGAATGTGACCTGTTATACGGCATGAATTTAGAATAAATATTATTTAAATCAACATATAATTTGTCAACATTAGAGCCCAGGTTAAGGGTAACACTTTACAATGAGAAAGTATTAGTTCATGTATTTATTGACATGAACAAACAATGAATAATACATTTATTACAGTATTTATCTTTGTTAACATTAATTCATGGAAATTAAATTGTTCCTTGTTGTTTATGTTACCTCACAGCGCATTACTAATGTTAACGTAATGTTTGGATTTTAATAATGCATTAAAATAGTAATTCAATTTGTATATTAAATTAGTAAATGATGAAGTGATAAATGCTTTACAATTTTGTTCATTAGAAATTCATGCTATTAATTACATTAACTAACAATAACTAATAAAACCTAATTGTAAGGTTAAGAATATGTAGGCCAGCAACAGCTAACAAGTTAAAAGAATGGTATATTTGCCACAAAAACTGCTGACAAATCTGCGACTCTGACTTACAGGAAATGAATGTTCTAAATTTATCTACGTGTAACCAGGAGCAACAAAACACCAGCTTACTGTAAAAATCTATTGTTAATGGCAGTGTTCATGACAGTGTTATGCTGTATAACCCCATGTGAATATTTCATGATGCAATCATTCAAGTAATGTTAGAGAGCATATGCTAAAATATATATGCTAAAAAATTAGAAATGTTCTCTATGCACACTTCATATTTCTCACAGTAAAAGAAATAAAAAAAACAACAGCAACAACACCATAGACTGTCCAATCACATCACTTTATAACATCACCTCATGAGTCACCTCATGTGCAACAGGAAATGGGCTGAAGGGGTAAAGTGAACTAAATTAACCCTGTGGCTGATCACACCACTCTGTTTTCTGGCACAAAATTCATTTTCCTAAACAAAATTTCTTTTGTTTAATGAGTTGTTTGTTTGTTTTAAGATGTTGAAAACATGTAGCCATTGACTTCCAAAGGGTTTAATTCCTACTATGGATGACAATTTTTACAGGTTTTAAACATTCCAATAAATATCTTCTTTTGTGTTCAGAACAGAAAAAAAAGCCTAACTAGTTTGGAACAAGTCTAGAGTGAGTGAATGATGGCAGAATTTTTATTTCTAGGTGAAAACATTGTCTTTATCAGAGTACCCGCGGGGTCTTAAAAGCGTTGAAAAAGTATTAAATTTGATATCTCAAATTAAGACCTTAATAGCCTTGAATTATTATACAAAGTCTTGGAATTCATTACAAAGGTCTTAGTTTATTCATTTATTTTACCTTTCTTAGGATTAAGTTCATACTGTAACAAAATTAACTGTTACTAATGTAAGCTAATTAAAAATTCTTGCAGCATAATGATGTGCACCTCATGCTCCACGTCACAGCAGAAAGTGCAAAAGCATGCGCACCCGTTACTATGGTTACTGGAAGTGAGGACTGCGACGCCTACTGCTGTTGATGCTGGAAATCTTTTAAGCTAGCGTGGTGTTAGGGTGTTAGGGCCCTGGACTCCCATATGAGGGGTGCCAAACACATCATGTGTAGTACTGCTCGTCAGCGCCAACCACCTATTGTGCAGTTTTGTGCACGGGAGACCTCTTCGGTTACTGAAACAGCTTTGGCTATCAGTAATGAAGAAATGTCTACATTAGACGCATTGCCACCACACAGTGTTGAGCAGTACAAGTAGTGACACTTCTAGCTTAACTACATTTCTCAGTAGCGTGGTGGTAGCATCCTTACTTTCTAAATCAAATAGCTTTACAGTAGCGAAGCTATTTTAAGCAAGTAGCGCAGTAGCGTCCAAAAAGCTACATTTACCGATCGCGGATCAATAAGTGACGGCACTGACATTCACTGAGCTGTAAATCCGGTGTCTAGCCGACAAAAGTAAATCCATATTATGGTGAGAATGACAATTTGTTTTTTTTCCTGTTTTACGGTGGTCGACAACAAATTTTTTGATGCGTTACTGCCACCTCTCGCTCTCGTTGGTGACGTCGCCAAACAATCATTGGGCTGACATCAGAAACTCGCTTGATTGAAAGATGACTGAGGGAGATTGGATTGGATTGGCGGCCATCTGGCAGACCAGGCAGTTTGCTGCTGGGCTGACGTACTTTTTGGGCCGGGCTGATCATCTTCTTATGATCTGATCGGCCCATAAAACGCTCAGCCAACTGTCATGTTTTTCTCCCTAAGTGATTGACGACCTGGGAAAGTTATTCTGTAGTTTAATAAATGCCCGACTGCTGGACTTCATCACGACACATAATTTCTTGAGCAGAAGTCAAATTGGATTTCTACCAAAATACCGCACATCCGACCACATTTATACACTACACTCACTTATTGAAAACACACTGTCCAGAATAAAGGTAAAATATACACATGCTTTATTGACTTTAAAAAAAGCATTCGACTCAATTTGGCACCAAGGGTTACTTTAGAAGCTGATCGTAAGCGGTATAGGAGGAAAAACCTATGACCTTATTAAATCAATGTACACCGAAAGCAAATGTGGCATAAAAATTAGCACAAAAAGAATAAAAATATCTTTCCCAGGAGCGTGGAGTGAGACAAGGCTGCTGCCTGAGCCCAACACTATTCAACATCTACATAAACGAGCTGGCGCTCAGTCTGGAGTAATCCTCCGCTCCGGGTCTCGATCTCCACGACTCTCAGATCAAATGCTTTCTGTACGCAGATAACCTGCTGCTGCTATCGCCCACCGAACAGGGCCTTCATCAGAATCTGCAGCTGCTGGACCAGTACTGCCAGACCTGGGCCCTGATTGTCAACCTGAACAAAACCAAAATCATCACCTTCAAAAAAGAGCCAGACCCCAGGGAACACAACACACATTCACACACTGGCCAAATGGGACAAAAACCCAATACCCTGTACACAGAGCTCATTCTATAAAGCCCTGCAAGACAAAGAGCTGAGCAGAAGAGCAGACCCACTCTCCCAGCTGGCCCAGAACTTCAGTGTCTCTGATACATCTCCTGAGGAGCTGAACACACTCCTGCCACTGACTCACATCACACACCAGATCAAGAACAGCTACACACACAACTGGGAAACTCAAACACAACTGCAAAGCAAAATGCAGTGTTATCTGGCCCTGAAGAGACAATATACTCTGGCAGACTATCTTCACACTGTGACAGACAATGGTGTGAGGAACTCCCTGAGCAGATACAGACTCAGCGGACACCAGCTGGCCATACAGACGGGCAGGCACAGACAAACATGGCTGCCGGTGGAGGAGGAAATAAGTATATATCTAGAAACTACAGTAACAATAGGTAAGTTTTTTGCACAATAAATCACAGATATCTGCTACATTGGGCTTTTATTAAAAGCTACGATATAAAAAATTATATAGTGTTCAGTGGACCATATGCAATTTAGCTGCATTTGCTGCATACTTGCCTCAAGTTGAGTTTATAAAGATTTTTTACAGTGGTGGCTGCAAATATTTATTACCCATAAATAATGATGACAGTTTTCAAAATAAAAATAGCAGGCATTTTGTACTTTTGCATTTATAACCTATAAACAATTGATACATCCACTGATACATCCCTGCATACAGCGTTAGTTATGCTAATTAGTTGTAATTTTTAAATACACACATTTGTCAAGTCAAATAAAAAAAAAGTCTTACCAAGCTGCCATTCATTTTCAGACAATTACAGTCCACAGTTTTCGTTATGCAAACAGAATACAGATCCATAGTGCAGAATATAGATGAAATAAACATGATTTCTTCTTGTTTCTTGTGCATGTCCATTTGCAGGCTTGTCTTATTCAGCAGTTGCATAGAGGGTGAAATTCAAGCTCAAGCCAGGCCTCAAAGTCCAGCTCTGCAGTCATAGCTATAAAACATGAATCAACAGAGAACGTTAGGTTGTAATTCAATATAATATGTAGCTAGACCGAAAACAGTAGTAATTGTTCACCATTTACACACATATTTGTTGATTAATTTTGAAACTTATCAAAAAAAGGCGAATAGAGTTCCTTCATAACCTTTAAAGCCCCAAATTATTATATATTAAAAATATAATATATTATCAAAAATATAATACCTAAGTATTATTATCACTCTTGATCATCTGATAAAAGGTACCAAAAATAAACATTATACACATTATTTCTTAATGGCATTTTTTTTTTACTACAAAGAACATTTTGTGAAGTGAAAAACTTCAATGTTGTTTTACAGGTTGATTGTGGAAATGCGTCCTCAAAAAAAATGTTGTTTTTTACCATATGTCACAGTAATTCTTTGAGGAAATACGACCAAATATGTGCCTAAAGTAACGGTACTTCCAAAAGCGGTTCTTCTTTTTATAGTCACTGTCATGTTATTACAAACATATGCTTTTTTTTCTTTTCTAGAACAAACCAAACGATATTCAAGCATTAAAGTCACACAGATTTTAAATTACACTGAGGGAAACAAAAAAAAAATCAGAATACCCGAGTCTAAAAGCAAGGTTACTTCTATCATCCCAGACCATATTCTCACAGCAGCAAAGTAGGGTCACACACCAAATTTACAAGACACACACCTACATTTTCTGTTAATCCCTATGTGTGAAACAGTTTTACTGAACTACCACTTTATATAGTGTACAGTAAGTTAATTAGGCCTTGATTGACAGCAATTGGCAGTTTTCTTTGTGGACTCTTTCTGAAAATAGCCAACACAAAAGGCAACTCTGATGCATTGTGTAAATTTCTCCTCCTAACCCACAGGCCTTAAACACATAACGATCATAATTACAAACACTGTGTTTCTGTCCTACGATCTTATTAGGGCAGACCTGTATTTTTTTTTTTTGGTTTCCCTCCCCCCTCTGCAGTTAAGGTACTTTCCTGCCTGCCTCTAGACAAGCACACGCATACAGCATAAGCACAAAGCAAACAGTCACGTATTGTGCATTTTCTAACAGTGAATTGATTAAACAGTAAATTTTTTTATTGATGTTTGATTAAGGCTTTGTTGGACTTCAAAGGCCTTTCATTTTTCTTATGGTACTTAGAAAGTTTGCATAAGCCCTTTTACATGGCAATGCTTTAGCCCTGAGGATAATGACAATATTTAAGTACTACCACAAGGCTAAAACCTCATGATTATATTAACATACATCTAATTATTGAAACGCCCAATGATTTATGATAGTTTAACAATTAAAACAATAGTAACATTACATAGTAAACAAGTAAATGTATTTTTGGGTGTCTCAGTGAAGTGTGCGAATTATGATGAATGAGATACATGAAGCTGAAAGACAGAATGCGGATTTGCAGCAAAATTAAAACACTCGAGTTGTCAAAATCTGTTTATGTCCACATAATAAGTGGCTGTTTGACAGTAAAGCAACAAAGAAAAGTTTAATTTTGTCTTGTTTCGTTGAATGTTATACAGATAAAAGCCACACGGTTTGCATGAAAATGAGTAACAAGAAGCTGAATGAGTAACATACGATTTCATGACATAGCAACTCTTATATAATATAATAAGTGAATCATAACTCATTTTCATATATGACATATCAGCAGTTGAATATCGGTCACAGAATGCCTAAAGAATCTTTATAAATGAGTAAGTAGTAAAGCAGCCGTCAAACCAAAACCTTTTGAAGAACAGGCAGGCTTTGTAATCAGTGTTGATTAAAACAAAACAACACTTCAAATGCTGAGTATTAATGTTGTGGCACATTAAAATAGATATATTTTAAAGTTTAAATGGATAATTTATCCAAAAATAAAAGTTATGTCTTAATTTTCTCACTATCCACTTGTTTTAAAACCGAGTTTATTTCTTCTGCTGACCACAAAAGAATATATTTTTAAGAATACTGAAAAACTAGTAGCCAAATTACATAAAGCAGTTTTTAACCACCAATTACCAACCCACATTAAAACATCATCTTGTATTTAACACCAATTCACATTGCACCAACAGATCCTAACAAACCCAGACCGTTGAACTGTACACATTCTTTTTAGACATTCTACAGCTAGACAAATGAGGTTCCAACAGGCAATGTTGCACTCTCTTTGTGCAGGATGATATGGCCTTTATATTTGTATCACATATCTTTCGTTACAGATGTCAGACCACATACAGGTACTTTCAAAGGGTCAAAGGGTCAGACACCTTAGGATAACTTCCCAATATCTTATTGACATTCTCTTTAAAAAAATATTTAAACCTTTCTAAATTGGACGCCAGTGCAGCTAAAGATGGTCCATACAAGTTGACAAGGTAAGTCGATTTTCATTTGAAGACAATGATTTTGTTTTATTCTTACCTTTTTAAAAATGCTTTTCTGACAAAGTTGACACACTGACAAACCTTCATAATGATTATTTAAGTAGCAACTTTAATTCTTCAGAAATAAATATATATTTGACATTTTAAGGTCAAAATTATTCTCCCCTTTAAGCTATATGTTTTTTCGATTGTCCACAAAACAAAATATCAATATACAATAACTTGCCTAATTACCCCAATCTAATTAACTGAAGCCTTTAAATGTCACTTTAAGCTGTAGAAGTGTCTTGAAACATATCTAGTCAAATATTATTTACTGTCATCATGGCAAAGATAAAATAAATAAGTTATTAGAAATTAGTTATTAAAACTATTATGTTCAGAAATGTGTTGAAAAAATACTCCCAAGCTCCGTTAAACAGAAATTGGGGGAAAAAATAAACAGGGGGCTAATAATTCAGGGGGCTAATAATTCTGACTTCAACTGTATATATAACAATTTGGGGAGTCTCTTGAACCTTTTTTAAATTACTGTTTCTTTAGTAACCATGTAAAAAGGCTTATAACAGTATTTTATGGCAAAGACAGATAAACTGACAGAATAAAAGGCATATTGTTAAAAGATATGTTGTGGCTATGCATCTGTAATAGTCTGTTCAGTTAAGGCTCCCTGCTAAATTAAAAAGCAGCTCAGTGAATGCAAACTTTTGCTTACGTAAACAGGAAGATGTGCTCATCAGTTTATTTTTATTCTGTTGTTGAACAAAAAGCATTATTACAGCATTATTTTTTTTTTAATATTTCTTCACAATTTTAAACTTCTGTTATTTCCCTAGTCAGGAGATAAAGAGAGTGCAATGACTAGCTCGGCCTCAATCTGTCCCAATTTAAGAGGGGCACTGGGTTGAAAGGTATGGATGTTGAAAATTGAGATATCAGAGGTAGAACATACTTGAATATTTATAGGGTGTGGTATTAGCTTAAACATTAAATCCGACGAGACAGGAATTGCGGTGTTCAGCGTTTTATTTATTTCACTCACTACACTTTCGTCTCTCCAGTAATATACATTTAAATTTTTTCATTTCAACACAAAAGTCACAGCGCTGAGTTACATATAACACAACATTTTCCCCTATTTAAAACAGCTTGTGGGGTACCTAAGCAATACGTGCTCAGTATCAGTTACTAATCAAAAACACAATCAACTAAGTAATTTAACCAACTTTAACTCTGTAATATGAAACACTGTTTGTCTTTTTTTCCTTAACAGCAGAGATACAGATTTTAATAGTTCGGTAGTATTAGAAACTTAAGAAGTCAAGCTAACACAGTTTAGTAACATAAGCAGCACAAACTCAGTAAAACAACACACCCAACTCTAAGTAACATAGTACAAGTGAGGTTTTTGAACAGTACGATTAGGTCTGAGTAGACTGTGATCAGTGTTGTCAACAGGAGTTGCTGTTGTGCATGGAAGCGCAGTGAGATTGGAAGCATTCCAAGTTTTACCATCACTAAGCCTGTATGTACCCATCCCCAGTTTTTTTTTTTTTTTTTTTTTTTTTTTGACTGTGAGGAGATCCGAGAATGACTGGTGTCTCTTTGGTATATACAGATGGTTTAAAACTCTCACTTTATCTCCCTTCTGAAATCAAGGAATTTGTGCACCATGCTTAGCATTAGTGTACAGTTTCATTTTGTTTTGCATCCTTGTGACTCTTTGACAGACAGATACATCAATACTCAAGCATGCAGTAGGAGATGGCAGAATAGACAACCTTGTGTGATTTGCCTGCCAAAAAGTAGCTGAAAAGTTGAGGTACAGTGGCAGCGTGAGGAGTAGCACGGTACACCTTTAGAAAATCAGTCACAACAGTTTTCCATGGTTGATGCTGTTGGAATGCCATATGTATGGTGTGTTTGAGAACACAGTTAAATGTCTCTACAGCACCATTAACTGCTGCGTAGTTTAGAGAGGAAAGATGGAGGTGTTTATTTCTTTTTTCCATAAAAGCAGCTTAGAAATCAGACACAAACTGAACACCATTATTGGTAACTTTGCTCAATGGATTGCCATAGTGACTGAATATGGATGACAGAAATTTAATCATGGAATCTGTAGTGATGGTGCGAATAAATGATACTTCAGGCCATTTGCTGTAATAATCAGTCAATGTAATAGCAAACCTGCAATCGATTTCAAATGGTACGACTTTATCCACAGCTACCTCTGTCATGGTTCATTTAGAAGCGGTACAGGCTAGAGAGGTGCAGGCTGTAACTTTACAGTTTTGCCATTGAGTTGGCATACATGGCAAAAATGCACAGCATCATGAACCTGAGCATCCATCTCTGGCCATCAACAGAGATCACAGAGGTGCTGCTTGGTTCTTGTCTCTCATTGGTGACCTTCGTGTGCTACGGAGACAAGTGTAGGGTGAAGAGCAAAAGGTGCAATTAGCCGTGACCCCCAGAAAAGAAAGTTGTTCTTGACAGACAGTTGCAGCAGATATTATGGCAACAGCTTAGTATTCCGTCCTCTGCTTAAAGGAGGCCAGCCGTTCGAAATCTGTTGCCTCAGTTTAA